GGTTTCCTCCCACAGTCCAAAAACATGACAGTCAGGTTAATTGGGCTCTCCAAATTGCCCCTAGGTGTGAGTGTGTGTGTGTGCATGGTTGTTTGTCCTGTCTGTCTCTGTGTTACCCTGAGACAGACTGGCGACCTGTCCAGGGTGTACCCTACCTCTCACCCGGAACGTTAGCTGGAGAGAGGCACCAACACCTCCCGACCCCACTAAGGGACATGGGTGTAAAGAAAATGGATGGATGGATATACTAAATGCCCAAAACATTTTCAGTCAGTAAGTAAAACACAGGTTTTAGACAGGTTCTAACTTCTATTTTGATGATTTATGTTGATTTTTTTTCTTTGTTCAATGAAAACCTGATAGTTCTTAGCAGACTATCAGGTTTTGTACTTGCTATATTAATTTGGAAAAAAAAAATCTGTCAAAATCTGAATCACCAGGTCAGACCTCAGAAATCGGTTTTGGCCTGAGAAAGCATGATCAGTGCACATCTCAGCTGGTTTCTGTTGCTGTTGTTGTTTTTTGTTTTGTTTTCTACAAGTTATAGATTTTTGTGATTCCATGAGGAGTTTACCAACCAAGCAGTTTGTTGCTCCCATAAAAGCCACGAAACTACTTCTTATCCCAACCGTGTTGGATCTTGTGAGTTTTGTCGGGAGGTCTTTCCAATTTATGGACTTCCCGCCTCATCCACCGACAACCATCAAACCAACCGCTTCGGTTTAAATTCCCTAAACAGACAAGCGTTGACAGGAATAGACCAATGCAGTGATGGAGGGATGCGAATGTCACATGTTTTCAGTATAATATACACCGCCCTTCTATTTCTATCTCCACCCCTCCGTCAAGTGTCAATTCTGCTCCGCCGCAATCAATCAGTTATTTGTCAGGCGCTGTCAATCCATCGGTTGATTTATGTCAGCTATTGTGGCTGATTACATGCAAGTGTTGCTGCTGGCGAAGTGAAAAGAGAACAAACGGAGAGACGCCGTTCAAGAGACACTAAGTTTTTTATTAGTATTATTGTTGTTATTATCATAATAATTATTATTATTATCATCCGCAAAATCGCATCGACTCGTTTAATTTTAAAACGCATCTGTTAAAACACGCATCCTCATTTTAGATCCACTTAAAGGAGAAAAAAAAGCAAGCGGACGTAACCTCGGAAGCTTTATTAAATAGCAGCTTTAACTTTCGGAGTTCTCAGTAAAACACCTCGGAGGTGGTATGTACATGATGAAACTTTAATAACTTGCAGACAGTCTCGCTCACATGTTGTGCAGAAGCTGTTCGTGCTTCCAGGTGCGAAAGTACTTTTGCTATAATCGGCCGATTATGGTGTTAACAAGAAGCTTTGGGGGGGGGGGGGGGGGG